TCTTGTGGCCCCTTTGCTCTTCTCTGGAGGGGTCTGGGCAAGGTGCTCTTTGTGCACGTGAATGGACCTGGGATGAGAACTCTGGAGCCCTCCTGGGTAGTAGACAGACTCAGAATTTAGTTTCCCCCAGTACAGCAAGCACATCCTTCCCTGCTCCTAGAAGATCCTGAGCCCCAGTTCATGGGTAGCATCTCTGCCCTACTCTTCCAATCTGTTCTGTTTTGCTCAAATCCTCCCAGGCCACTTTCTTCTCCTGCCTCACTGGGCTGAAATCAGTTTTACTGGGCCAACAGCAAGGTGTTGGGCAGGCGGGACTCCCTCTGGAGGCTCTTACGAGGAGCCCTTCCTTGCCTTTTCCAGTTTCTGGCGTCTGCATGTGCTTTTTGACTTGAGGCCACATCCCTCCAGTCTCTGCAGGTGACTTCTGACAGCCTTCTACTCTGTGTGTAAGATTTCTCTTCATCTACCTCTTATGACGATTCAAATGATTGCTTTCAGGGCCCACCAGATAACCCAGGATAATCTCTCCATATCAAGATCCTCAGCTTACTGACGTGTGCAAAGACTTTCCCATATAATATTCATAAGATCCAGTGGTTAGGATGCTAGGATGTGAGGACTTTTCCCATCCTACCACAGATGAAGACCAACAAAATAGAATGTCCCTCTCATTCTTCTTGGAAATCATTCTCTAGCCCTTGTGTAGGGCTAAGAATCTTACACATAGTCCTCCATCTGCATCAGTGGATCCAAGCAACCATAGAAAATATTGAGAAAAGAAAATTGCATCTGTAGTGAACACATACAGATATCTTGTCATTATTCCTTAAATATTAGAATGTAACAACTATTTACATATCACTTACATTGTATTAGGTATTGTAAGTAGTTTAGAAATAATTTAAATATGCAGGAGGATGTACATAATTTATATGCAAATACTACATCATTTCATTTAAGAGACTTAAGCATTGTAGGATTTGGTATCTGTTGGGGTCCTAGAACCAAATCCCCAAGGATACTGAGGAATAACTGCAGCAGTCAGATCTGGCTGGTGAATATTCCCATTTGACAGAAGACTGAGGCCCAAAGGCCAGTTGCAAGGGGAGCAGAAGCAAGACTCTGAGAACAAATGAAACTGGCTTTCAAAGTTGGACCTCTGACAAGTGTTTTTACTTAGCCTTGTCCCTCAAAGATGAGGGTAACAGCTGTACACTGAGGGGTGGCGCCACCTAGTGTCCGTGTACAGTCGTCCTTCGGGGAATCCACCACCCTGTCTGTCCTCTGTCCTACTGTGGGGCATCTTTGTAGAAGGGCCATGGAGGAGAATTCCTGGTCCCAAAAAGAGCTGGCTTTGAACTTCACTGACTGAGTGACCTGGGGCCAGCCACTTCTTCTCTAACCCTCCATTTAATCTTAACAAAATGAAAATGAGGCCTCTCAGCGATGTGGAGAGGATCTTGATGAAGTGCCCCACCATGCCTGACAACTGGGAATAGCTAGGGGGCAATGGAAAGAAGCATTGTCTGCAGTTCAACAGGTCTGGATTTGTTAAAAAAGAAAAACTACTGTGCACGTGCTGTGTGCCAGGGACCGTTTAGTGTGCACTGACGTGACAATAAATAAAACATACAATATTCATGGCTTCATGCAGTTAATACTCTAGCATCCCAATTTTTTAGTCAGTCACTCATTCATTTACAAATATGTTTCTGATACTATATGTGCCAGGAACTTCCTAAGCCATGGGCACAGAAGTTATCTAATCTTTCTGGAGCCTGGGGAGCAGAAGGGAGAGGGCTGAGTAGGAACAGATCCAACTTTGTGGGGCCTAAAGCTTATATAACTTATAGTACTCCTTAAGAGAAAGAATACAGCTGGGTATGGTGGTGCAAACCTATAATCCAAGGGGGTGGAGGTGGGGTGCTGAGGCAGGAGGATCACAAGTTTAAGGGCAACCCGGGCAACTTAGCAAAACCTTGCCTCAAAATAAAATTGAAAATGTTAGTGATATGACATAGCGGTAGAGTACTTGCCTGGCATGTTGTTAAGTAATGCATTCAATACCCAGTAACAGGGGACAAATATAAAGTCACAAATACAGGATTAATTTAGGAAGAGAATTTTTTTTAGAATGAGAAAAATAACACATTATGAAATTCTAAAAGCTGACAAATATCACAAACCTCACACAATCTAGAAATGTAGCACAATATTTTACCGATAAATTGTGTGGTATGGGTCTATAATAATCTTCTCTACATTTTTTGTTGTATATTCTTTGCTCATTTAGTCATAAGCCAATGATTGTGTGTTATTATTTTCTACAAAGAGACTAGGGAGATAATTCAGTCCTTTTACCGGGTTGATTAACTTTTTCTTTTTTTTTTTTTTTTTGTACCAGGAATCAAACTCATGACCTCAGGCTTGCCAGGCAAGCGCTTATGCCGCTGAGCTACATCCCCGGCCCTTGATTAACTTTCTAAGTAGGTATGTTAAATAATTCTTTGAGTTGTAAAGCTTCATGTGATGTAAATTTTTAGGATTATTGTAAAATTTGGGGGAAAGCTCTTCATTTTTAATATACAATCTCTAAGTCTTACTGTAAAGTGATTAATTTTAAATATTCTTTGAGTTGACAGTACATTTACCAGTTTATTATTGGTAATATTTGATTAGTTGTATATTTTATTATAGTGATGTTTTATGAGTTCTATTTTCTACTCATTAATTGTCAGTACTTCATATAAAATATGAGGGAAAATTAAAATTTTTCCAATTCATTTATATAATTAATTGCTTTTAATTAGATTACCAAATTATCCAAGAGTATTCATTATTTTATTTCAAAACATATCTGTTCCTCTTAATGAATTATTACTTTTGTTATGATACATAGGACACATTGGCATGTTTCAGCTTGTAGGCACCAGAAATCACTAAAGCAAATATACCAAATAAGATCTGACCCAATACAATGAGATCCTACAACACACACCTTCTTATATGGAGGCCCTAGCTTTTTATAGTGCTACCATATGTTTGTGCTCTACACACAAGACTGATGTTCTGGTTTGTGCAGTTCCTGTGAGAAGGAAAGAAAAATAAGGAATGCATTTGTATCTATATATGCTGCACTGCCAGAGAGTCCAGGGGAAAAAGCTGCTTAAACTGAGCTTTGATGAGAACCAAATCCTTTACTTACACTTAATACGCCTGAAGATTGGAAGAATTTTCCATAGATTAATTTCCGATTCTGTACAATGTAAATCTTATTTCATATCCCTATGTGCACTGTATGTACTCCTGCAGCTGGGCACTGACATAATTTATGGTCCTGCATCCTCAGTCACATGGAGGGTAGGTCTGCTTGGGGGCAGTAGCCATGTTTCTGGAAGGCTTTCCTGCACTGAGATGGATAGCAATGACTTAACCACACAAAGAAGTGACCATGGACCACATAAATAGATCTCTCTAAACCGAAATCCAACATACACTTAACTCGGCCTTAGCCCCATCCTTTAGGTACTCCATTACCATTGTGATAGGCAGAGTGGAGACATCAATCATGAAGAATCACAGAAAACATCTTATTTTTTCAAAATTTACAGAAGCATATGGCCATGTGAACACATTGGAATGTTTCTCTGAGCCCCTTAGATGGGTTCATACAAAGAGGGTTATGAAACCAAAGATTATTGTTAAGGTAAACACATCTATATGAAATGAAGCCATTATAGTAAGTCTGAGGGAGACTATATGGGGCCTTGTAGTTGTTGAATGGGGGTTTACATTTTATTCTAAAGGTAACAGGAAGGCTTTAAAGGAGGAGGTTGGGAGTACTTTGATTTGATCCTTATTTTTTAAAGACTACTTTGATTTCCGAGTAGAGAGTGGGTTTTCAGGAGAAAAAAGACTTGAAAGAACCACTTAGAAGGCTATTGGAGTTTTCCTAGGAGAGAGGTGGCTTGGGCTCGGGTGGAATGGAAGAGGTAGTGAGAAGTAAAGAGATTAAGTTACTTTTGAAGGTGGAGTGATGGGCTCGCTGATGGGTCGACATTAAAATAGACGTGAAGTGGCACCAAGTGTGTCTCCCAGATGTCTGTGTGAGTTGCCACAGTGACTTCATCCTCTGCAGTGGAAAAATGGGGGCTAAAGTTGAGTTTGAATCTTGTCTTTACCATTCCATAGACGACACTGAACAGGACGCTTTTTTTCTCTAGACTTTTTCCCTATCTCCAAAGAGGGAAGACTAATACCTGCTTTGTGAGGTTGTTTAAAAAGTGAATAAGGCAGCCTATTAACATGCTCGGCAAGCAGTCTAGACCTTCTCAACAAACTGGACGTCATTACTGTTCCAAGATTTATTAGTGTATACTACAAAGCTCAAGTGGACAAACCGTCCTTGGGTTCTTCTGCTTTGATGTGATTTTTCTCAGATCTTAGCAATTGATTTCTGCTATTGAAAGCTGTGATGTTCCAGGCTGGAAAATGTTTGCTGTCCCCCCAAAACCGGTCTTTTAAAAAATAACAATAATAGATGAATTTATTAAGTACATATTGTAGGCTCTGTACATGCTTCACGTCATTTATTTCTTACAATATCCTGTGGCACAGGTACTTCTTTCATCCTTTCCATTTTACAGATAAGAAAAACTGAGGTTGAGGGATTAAATAATTTTCCCAGGGACCTCTAGCTAGTAAATGGAAGTGACTGGACTGCACCATAAAGATGCTCAAAGATCAACGATCGGACGGAAAAATGATGTTTCACAGTGGAACACAGCGCTCAAGCCCGGTTCTCGTCTTGTTTTACGGGTGTCCTAGGCTGTTACTAGAGCGCGGGCAGAACACCTGAGTCTGCGCGCTGGGACTGCCCCACCCGCCCGGGCCCGTCCGCCCGGGCACGTCCGCCCGGGCCGCCCTCCCCTCCCTCTCCGTCCCCATACCCCGCCTCCCGCCACGCCCGGCTCCCCGCCCCACAGCCGCGCCCCGCGGACGCCCGGGGGCGCTGCAGTGCTGTTCCGGCACCTGACGCGCGCTCCGGCGGCTCCTCACAGCCCGCGTTCTGGCGCCCGCGCCTCAGATCCTGCGCTGAAAGTAGGGCTCAGCTGGGAGGCCGGGCGCGCCTCCAGGCAGGAGGCGGGCTGGGTGAGGGGACTGCGGGCACCACGCCTCCGCGCGCCGCGCCCCGCTCCTCACCGCGTCCTCAGCTCGCGGCGCCAGCCCCGCAGGCCTGGCCTGAGGGAGCCCGGGGGTCCCCTCGCGCGCGCCCTCGGGGCCGTCCCCCGGCCTCAGTTTCCCCCTGAGGAGGTCGGCTGTGGAGGGAGCCCTTGGCCGTGACGGCCGCCCCCCTCGATGTCCCCAGCCCTGGAAGCTCGCAGCTCCGAGGTTCCTGGCCCTCGCCCCCTGAGAGCCGCCTCAGAGGGCTTCGCCGCCTCGGCGGGGCCCTCGCGCGTCCTGCGCGCCGCGCCCCCGCCCGCGCCCCCGCCCCCGGCGCTGCTTTCGGTCTCGCCCTCGCGGGTACTGCCGGGTGTGTGGCGGGTAGTGTATCAGGGAAAGCACGGGAATAAGTTACAAGGTTTACGTTCTGGGGTTTTGTGTGTGTGAGTGTTCTATTTTTATTTGAGATATAAAATATCAGTTTCAGATAATTGGAAACAACCTAGGACCTTTGCTCTCAGCTAAATTTTACCCTTCCTCCCTCCCTTCCTTCCTTCGTTTCCTCGCTCTCTTTTACAGGGTCTCGCTCAGCTGACCAGGCTGGGCTGAGCTTGTGATCCTCCTGCATCAGTCTCCCAGAGAACCGGAATTACAGGTGTGCGGCCCCGCCCATTAAGGATATTACATTAAAAGTACTCACAAGGGGGGAGTCTTAGAAGACAAATTGAATATTACTCTAAGATACCAAAACCCATTCGCAGTGCAAAGGAGGAGAGTGGAGCCAATGTAAGGCAGAAGCCGTAAATATCAAAATCCCTAGCTGTCCCCATGAGGGAATGTGGCTTGGTAAATTGCATAACCTTTAGTTTGGGCATAATAATTTGATTCTTGCGGTGGAAATGAGCATTGAGCGAAGTTCACCTAAATTTTTAATTCTGTGGCTGGCTTTGTTTTTGCCTTTATTTTGGCTCGATGTTCTTTTATCAAAAATTTAAATAGAAGTTTCCATAGTGGCAGTTTAAAATTACTTACATGTAAGCAATAATTTATTCTTCTCTAGGGGTCAACCAAACGTCCTTTTTCATTTGTAGCTTCCTAATAGAGCCTTAAAATATTTTTAAGTAGTATAGTTTAAATATACATTAATTTCTTCTGTGTTAAAATGAATATTTTCTCATTATATTCTTCAAAACTTTTAAATTTGATTCTTTTTTCTTTTCTTGGTCTTCTGATTCTTTTCCTAGTTTCTTGGTTTTTCTCTTTTAGTTCTTGACTTTATAGTCATTTGGGAATCTGTTATTTTTAACCTCAAAAATTATTATATTGTTAAATAAACCAGAGCATCTTGAAGAGAACAATGACATTCAACACTTGAATATAAATCAGTGATCCAATAATTCTCAAATTCTTAAATTTCTTATTTCATAGGTTTGTCTATCTTTTCTTACTCTTTTCTATTTCTGATTCCTATTTTTCAGTCTTCCCCTTTTATTTTATTAGACCATATTCAGTTAAAGAGAATGCAAATCCTACATAGGATAGAATAAATAAGACCTAAGCGAGATCCTTTGTTAGAATCCATTTAAACCAGGTGTGACTCACAGTCTGCTAGCGCTCTGTCCTTCATTTATGATTTTATAAAGATTCTCTTTTTTGCAAGGAAATACTTTGAATTGAACAATATGTTGAATTAGGAAATAATCTGAATGTTACTTTTAAAATTTAAAACTGTTGTCATGAAATAGTACTGAAAAATTTTTGTTATCAAGTTTTAAATATATTTTTGTGTTCTCTCTAGTTCATTAAATATAACTACGGAATACAGGCAAGATGTTCTACACCCATGTGCTTATGAGTAGGCGAGGACCACTGGCCAAAATATGGCTAGCAGCTCACTGGGAGAAGAAACTCACAAAGGCACATGTATTTGAATGTAATCTAGAGATAACTATAGAAAAAATTATTTCACCTAAGGTATGTTACTGATTAAAATGATAATTTGTGTTGCCATAACTTCTGTAGAGGAAAGGAATTTAAATACATTTATATCATTAAATACATTTCCAACACAGTTGTACTTCTCAGATTGTCTCTTTTAATTCTTTATAGCAGTTATTGTCTGAGCATAAACATATTGGTTTCTGCTGGTGATTTGTTCATGTATGTATCATAAACAGATTGGAGCCTGAGGAACAAAGGCTGTCTTTTATGTATTTTGTAATCTTTTCTTGTTCTCTGTGTATGTAGTAGGTACTTAATTAATACGTCTAGAAAATAATGAATGAATGGGGAGGGTAGAGAGAAAGGATTGATTATATACTTAAAAATAACACATCATAAAATACTGTGTTAATTATAAAACTGTAAAATAGCTATTAAAATTTGCATTAAAATATTATCTTAATATTTTTATAGGTTAAGTATTTATCTGCTAGAAAGAAGGATGACTTATAAATTGGAAGATTACTGTGTGAGAGGCACTGGCCTAGACTTTATGTTATTAATCCTTATTAATTTGTTTAATCCTTTTTAAAGGTTCTTTGGCTTCTTTTAGCCTCAGTGAAGTGGTGTTAGGATGAACTTTTAAATACCAAATTTACATATAATCCTTGCTTCATCACTTAATAGTTGTATTACTTTGGACTTGCCACTTAGTATATCTGAGTAGACAGATATTTTTTTCTTCTGTGAATAGACATTGTTGTCAGAGTTAAATACATTAATGTATGAAAAGCTCTTAGGACAATGACTGGTACAAAATAAATTGTAGCCATTTTTATTAAACCGAGGTTCATGAAGGTTAAGTGACATGCCAGACTGCAGAATTTATATTCTTCCTGCAATATTTATAATAGCACATGTCACTTAAATGCCACATTAGATCATTTTTATGAAATAAAAATTAATCATTTTATAAGAAGGGATAAAATTTAAGTGATTTACTTTAAGAATATGAAATGTCTGCTTTTTAAAGAAAAGAAATTATTATAATTTCAATAACTTTCAGAGAACAGGGTTTGTGAACCTGATTTTTATTCTAATTTTAAAATTATTGAAAGGTGAAAATTGCACTTCGAACTTCAGGACACCTTCTTCTGGGAATTGTTCGAATCTATGATAGGAAGGCAAAATATCTTTTGGCAGACTGCAGTGAAGCATTTCTTAAAATGAAGATGACCTTCCGCCCAGGTACACCTGCAGTGTTAACTTTGTCTCACTTTTCTTGGTTCCCTTTTGTATGTCTGTTGGGTGGGGCCTTTCAATTGGCAGTAGATTGTAATTCAGGTGATTATAGTGAATGTAAACTTCATTTTGACTGAATCTAAGTTTCCATGGTTAAGGATGAATTATATTGTTTTGCTTACTCTTTTCCTATGTTTGCAGGAAAAGGTTTTGCTTTGTGAGACTTGTAATGTCCCTATGTATTATGTAAGAGATATGCTTAAAGCCAAAGCTTGTGTAAAAAACTCTATTATTCCATTTTTAATGGATCATTTAGCTTTTCATATATGTTTTGTCTTTATGAACGAAATTAGAAATAGTATAATTGACAAAACAAATATCAATAATTATGTTTTTATAATTCTCAAAACTATTAAATTGTACGCTCTTAATGAAATATGATAAAAATACCTAGACATGCCAAAATGCTAAAAAATTTAAGTGTCATAAATATAATGCTTTCCAAATATAATGTACATAGCATTTGTTCCACTTTTAAGACATTCATCATTTTCCACGTTGGATCATGGTTATTTAGATACAAGTCCTTCTGCTATCACTAGTCCTCAGGCTCCCTGAAGGAGCATCTTTGTCGTCTCCATTTTTTAAATCTCTTACAGTATCTGTCTTGGTTCCTTGCCCATACTATTCCCTCAACCAATTTTTGTTGAAAAAGGATTGACAGGTTTTTAATCTTTATTCTAAAATATTTCTACAATCTCTAGTGAGATCTATACTCATATCAAGTAAGATTCATTTCTTCACTTATTATTTCATTTATATATTCCACAAATATTTATTGATCTTATACTTAGTGTCAAACATGATGATAGGCTCTGGCATACAAGGACAGACAAGGTAAACAATACCCTTTCAGTCTAGTGAGGAAATAAGATAATGAAAAAAATTTTTTAAGTTACTACAATAATTATAGACTGTGCTTGTGCTATAAAGGAAAATAAACAGCACTGCAACAGAATACAATAGAGAACATTACTTTAGTTAGGGAAGTTGGGAAAAGCCTTTCTGAGGGGGTCGAATTTAGTTTGAAAAGTGAGAAATATCCAGCCATGTAATAAGTTCCACATGGAATGGCATAACAGGCAAGTGAAACTGCAAGAGCGAAAGTCTTTGGATGACAATGTACTTGAATTTTCAGGGAACAAAAGGGCTTGTATGTCTAGAGTAAGTACAATGAGAAGGAGAGTGGCCTCATATGATGCTTGATAGGTTGATTGGGCTAGAAGGGCCTTAATTAGACATTTTGATTTTATTAAAATGTACTGGGTAGTTGCTAAACCATTTTATGGGGGTTATCTGATCAGTTTGCTTTTGGAAAATATTAAAATATTTGGAAAATGTTTGCTTTATGGAGAATGGAGTGCAGAAGGACAGGAGTGGATAAGGGAGACCGGTTAAAGAGACTAACAAAGTGGTCCAAGGGGCTGGGGATTTAGCTCAGCGGCAAAAGCGCCTGCCTGGCAAGCGCAAGGTCGTGAGTTCGGTTCCTGGTACCAGAGAAAAAAAGTGGTCCAGTGAGATAAAGTATTTAGTTGGGAGTTTATTTTATACTGCATCATTACTTATTACATGTGATTTTTAAATATTTTTTTCAGGACTGGTGGACTGGTGGACCTCCCAAAAGAGAGTTTTGAAGCAACTTACAATGCTATTACATTACCAGAAGAATTTTATGATTTTGACACCCATAATATAAAGTAATTATTTTGTTTACTTTTCTTCAATTTGATTTTCTTGATATTTTATTGTTTTCCTATTCAGATTTTATGAAGGCAAATGAAATGTAGTTAACAACTGAGCAAGTACACATACAATTGATAGACTTTAATGTGAATTTCAAAAGTGTACCAACAAAAATGTATCATTATATTCATCAAATATAATTTATAATATTGTCAGCATATTCATTTGTCCATTCAATAAATATTCAGTAGGGGCTTGGAATATAGCTCAGTGGCACAGCACCTGGCTGGCAAGCACAAGGTCATGATTTCCATTCCTGCTACCAAAAAGTAAATAAATGAATAAATAAATAAATAAATAAATATTCATTGCATGCTTTTCCTAGCCAGGCATTGTTCTGGGCATTGAGGAGATAGCAATGAATAAAACACAGTTGCCGGCCTCATAGATCATATGCTTTAGCTGGAGTAGATTGACATTAAACAAACATGTAAACATACAGTATGCCAGGAAATGACTAGATGATCTAATATGAAAAAAAATAGAAAATAATGAATGGTCAGGAAATGATTTTCTAATAACAGAAATCTGAAGAAGATAAATGAACCAATCACTGAGAAGTGTGGGAGAAAACTGTCCTAGCTAGAGCAAGTGGAAAGGCCCTAAGACGGAGCCCATTGGATGCTTCAATAAGGAGGCAAGGGAGGCTGGAAAGGAGTGACTGAGGGGCTTGAGTGGTATATAAATGAGGTCAGAGAAGCAGCAGGAGGTACAGATGATATAGGATATCATAGGCTGCAGTAAGACTTACTTTACTCAGAGAGGAAGCACAAGAAGGTTTGAATAGAGAAATGGCCAGGTCTGGCTTGATGTCAACATGGTCTTTCTGGCTTCTTACTATAAGGGAAAAATAGGAAGCAGGGAGCAGGTGAGATTATTAGAGTAAGAAGTCTAGGTGAAGAATGGTATCCGTGATCTGTTCTTACTTCATCAAGGTGATAGCAATGAAATTATGGATATGTGTAGAAATCAGAGCCAACAGGATTTGCTGATGAATTGGATGTATGGCTCTGAGAAGTAAATGGTGCCATATGATTTTTAACATGAGAATGGAGTTACCACTTAATAAAATCAGGATCACTAAGAAATGGCAAGTTTAAGAAGGGGTGAGAAGAAGTAGTAAATTAGGTTTTGGAAATGACAGTCACACATCTGTAATTGTCTAAATTATGAATCATAAATTCAGATGTTGAAACCTAATCCTGAAGGTGACCATATTAAGAGATAGGGCTTTGGGGTAATGATTAGGTCATGAGGGCAGAGAATCCCATGGATGGGATTAGCGCCCTTATAAAGGGGTTAGGCCTTTTAAAAGAGGGGTGAGAAACTTTCTACCACCTGAAGACACAGCAAGAAGGTGCTGTCTGTGTGGAACATATCCTTACCAGACACTGAGTCTGCTGGAACCTTGATCTTAGACTACCCAATCTCCAGCACTGTGTGCAGTGAAATGCTGTTGTTTATAAATTGGCCAGTTTAATTTATTTGTTATAGCTGCCCCAAAGCCTGGAAGGTTCAAAGTCAGGGTGCCAGTATTTTCACTGTCTGGTGGGGTTCTGCTTCCTGGCTCATAGGTGGCAGTTTTCTCACTGTATCCTCATATGGTGCAAGAAGCAGTGCAGCATTTTGGAGCCTGATAAGGGCACTAATACCATTTATAAAGGGAGAGCCCTCATGATTTAGTCACCTCCCAAAGGTCTCACATTTTAATAGCATTGCATTGGTGATTAGATTTCAAGTTATGAATGAGGGGAGCACAAACAAATGTTCAGCCATAGCAGAAACAAACATCTGTTTCAAATGCTGTTGGCTAGCATAAGTAAGGTAAGAACTGAGAATGACCATAGGACATGTTAATGTGGAGATTGTGTATGTGTTAAAACATAATACTATTGAGAAAACAAAACTTTCCTTTATTTGTAGAATAAAACCTGCTTTTTGTTTTAGGCTTTTGCAGTATACTGTAAAATCATTTTGATCTATTTGTATGCTTTCCCCAATCTTACATTTCTCTGTAGTGTGATTGATATTTCAGAGCACTTCACTCAGAACCAAAGCAGACCTGAAGAAATTACACTTAGAGAACAATATGGCAATGATCTACTTTTCTCAACAGAGAACTTAGGTGAGAGCTTTTGAAAAATCAAAATTATAAGTAATAACCAGTTATATTTACATTTTTATACTAAAATAACACCAATAGAAATATGTATAGAAGGAATATATTTGTGTGATATAAGTATAATACCCTCCAAATTTTCTCACCTTTTTCTAGTACAGATGTTAATTGTAAGATATTCTTAGGGTATAGCTTCTTTCTCAGTGTATAATCACTTGTTGAATACTCTATAATACATCAGATACTATCATAAACACATGCAGTACCAGCGTTTAAAAAAAGCAGTTCCTGCCCTCAAGGAATGTTTGTCTGGGTAAGAGGCATGCAAATAAATAGTTGCTGTAGTTAACATTCATACTAGGTTTTATATATATGCTATATGAAATACCTTTAAATGTCATATTTTCTCCAATATATGATGGTATCAGTTGTAAAATAACAGATTTTAAATCTGCTTGGAAGTGAGGAGGAGGAAATATTGCCATACTTAATGTATAGATTAAGATAATAAGAGAGAAACTGATTATAAATGCTAAAATATTAGGGCAAAGTGAATGTAGTTTAAAATTGAAGTGTTATAGTATAATTCAACTATATAGTATTTGGTCTTTTTTTCTGACATATGCCACTCTCTATATTGTGATATTTATATGCCTTCTGTGCTGACCTACAAACTCCATGATGGTTGATCTGTACCATGATCATCTTTGAATTTCTCACAGTACCCAAAACAGTGAGCATAGGAGAAGGATGGACTAAACTTGCCTTGGCTCAGGTGGACGGTCAAGGACATAGTGCTTTAGCTACATCTCTACCTCACCTTCTGACCCTTCCTCTCTCTCTATAATCTTTGATATCTATGATTATGTTCCTCAAAACATCTATGTTGAATGACTGTGTTTATAATTTTTGTCTACTTCTGATTTGTCTATATTATTTTATTTTTGTGTAAATTTAATAAATTCCTAAAATTTAAAGTGAATTAAAATTTCATTTTCATGAAAATTAAAATTTAAAAAATCAAAACAAAATGTTTTTATTAGTCAATGTATATAAAAATACTCTGTCAAATTACTATAAATCATTCCAGACATTTACTTCTAATCGCTGTATTTACTTTACTATGGACCAGCACTAGTCCATAGACCATACTTTGACTATACTGGATCTCTTAACCACACCTAGAAATATAACACCTTGGCAAAATCATAATTGTATACTTTGCTGGCCATAACACTCTGTGTAAACTTTCCTGTAATTCTACTATTTTTTTATGCCTGGAACTTTAGGATTGCTTTCAACTACTTTTTTCTTAGCTTCATACTAGTGATGATTTTGTTTTTAAAATCTGAAGTGTCTTTTAGGTTTTCTATTTACACCAACATAGTTTACCAATACCAAAGGCCTGAAGTGCTGTACTACTCTCCTGCAAATCTTACTCCTTTCTATTTCTACATTTTCCATATCTCTGCAAAAGCAACTGTCTTTAAATTTCATTTTTGCTTATCACATTCCTCTACTTAAGTACCTTGGTTTCCTATAATATTGTATTGAACTCCTCTGCCTATCTTCCAAGGCCTCTTCCAATTTATCACCCTTTTTTATTTTATCAACTGTGTTCTGCTCTTTTTTTCTTCCAGTATGAGGGGTTGAGCCCAGAGCCTTTGCTTTGAGCTACATCCCGGCTCTCAAATTTGTGATTCTCCTGCTTCCACCTCCCAGAATGCTGGGATTACAGATACACCCAGATTGTTTTACTATGGGCATTTTGCTATATTCAAGCAAATGTCTTACAGTCTAACCAATACAATTTAGGTGTTCACATTTCTGTATCTTACATAATTCAAAAATGTGAGAATGAGTTCTTAGTAGATCAACAGACTCAGGTTTGAATCAGATCTTTATTGCTTGCTGTTTGGAGCATAGCAATTATCTAATCTCCCTGAGCCTTATTTCCGTATCTGTAAAGTTGAAATAACTTCTAGCAGCATCATAGATTGTTGTTTCCTTTATTCTTGCCTTCAGTCTTCTCTATCAATATATGATTTTTCTCTCCTTCAAAAATGATCTGAAATTTACAGTTCTTTAAGAAATCTTTAATATTAACCATCCTATTCTGTACTTCAATATAAAATTGAAGGTAACGATTATTTCTTTTCTGTAATCTCAGACTGTTTTGGTGCTCAATGCTCAGAATATAGTGTCTGTTCATATATGTTATTCTTTGACCAAGGCTGATTTTTCTTTTGGGATTTATCAAACTGCACATAATATAAACATATTCTTGTTTTTTAAAAAGTCACTTCATCTTTTCTATTGATCGGGTCTTTAGTGTGATTAAGATTGCTATTTTCAACTCTTTTTTAAAGATGTAGGTCTATAGAAGAATGTTCAATATGAATCAAAGACTATCATGATTTTCTTTAACCCTAAGATGGGTTGTTGGAGGGAAGGGAACCACCAACCTCTGCCTTCTGGGGTTACAGACTCCTGGACCTAAAGATTCAAACCCAAGACAGAAAAAGAATATCCAAGAGCTATCAGTGTAACATAGTGACTGTTAATCGGGGTTGGAATTAGAGGGAGCTGGCTTTGTTATTGACTGGTGTGTGACTGTGTGCAAATAAAATACAAAATTAATTATAAAACCTTTCTGTGATGTGTTCCCTCATTTGTACAATAAAAATTATATCTTGTGTTATATAATATGTATAATACATTAATGCTGACTGTTTATCATTTGTATTTACTCTCCAACTTCTAGCATATTCAGTAAATATTTATTAGATGAATGTTGTAAGCCCAATCTTTAATATTTTACTTACCCGGGGGCTGGGGATTTAGCTCAGCGGCAAAGCGCCTGCCTGGCAAGCGCAAGGTCGTGAGGTCGGTTCCCGGTACCGGAGAAAAACCAAAAACCAAAAACCAAACAAACAAAACAAAACAAAAAATATTTTACTTACCCTTTCCATTTTCCTAAGAAAGCATATATGCTCCGTATTTTTCCTGACCCTTATTATGGATGAACTGTTCAAGCAATTATGCTTGAAATTATATGAAATAATAGTTGGTCAAGCAGAATATGAATTAATTAATGTAGAGGAAATCATCCTGCCATAGTATTTCTGCCTTCTAGGAAATTATTAAATAACATCACAATTAATAAACTTTAATTATGTGCTTTTTTCCTATTATATTGGAAAGAATATTACACCAGAATGCTAATCTCTGCTGATTAACTTAGTGACTTTAGTTGAATAATTTGAGTGGGTTTTTTCAACTTTCTTGTTTCTTATCTATAAAATGAGAGCAATTGTACTAGATAATATCTCAGTTTCCTTCTAACCCTAAAACTATTTGTTTTTATGACTAACAGCACTAATGATATACATTTATTTAGGGGAAGAATCTGAAATTTTCAGAAGACATAGTTTCTTTGATGACAACGTATTAGTGAATTCCAGTGGTCATTTCATTGAACATAGTCCTACAAGTCTCATTGAAGAAAAGTCTTTGTTCTGTGACAGTGGAGATGGATTTGGAGATGAAGGATCTGCAGGAGAAATGATTGGTATGCTGTCTGGTCATATCCAAATCAAATATTTACTTCAAATTACTACAGTATATTAATATATTATGTGAAACTAAAATTTCAGATATGCTTCTGTATGATATAGGTCAATTCGTTTTTTATACAATTTTTAAAAGTCAGGGGCTGGGGATTTAGCTCAGCAGCACAGCGCCTGCCTGGCAAGCACCAGGTTGTGAGTTCAATTCCCGGTACTGGAGAAAAACCAAAAAAAATTTAAAAAAATAAATAAATAAAAGTCTATGACGAATTTAAGGTAGCCCTACTAGCCATCTGTTTAAATACATTTTCCATAGAAGTTGGGAACTATTGCCCATTTTTATTTTTACACATTCTTAAGTTTGGGAAGGGAAGAATGAGATTAGTATATCTCTCACAAAATATATTACATTATGTGCTGGAAAATGTTTTCTGTAACCCTAGTTGTAGGACTGCTAAGGAATCTAGCATTTTATATTTCTATTATAATTATAGAAGTAGTATGGACAAAAATGAGAAAACTAAATGTGCATATTTTAAAGGTTGCTAACTGTAATGTCATATATATTTTAAATTTTTTTCATTTACATCAAATCTAGTCCCTTCATTATGCCTTATTTAAAGCAATGTTAATAAATGTTGTGTGAACAAATGACTGACTCAAGTTTATATGACAAAAATATGTATTGTGCTTTTCAAGACAATCTACTGCAAGATGATGTGAATATCCTGTTAGGAGACATGCATTTAAAGGGAGAAGTTTCCTTGCCTTTTGAGCTTCCCAGTGCAATCATGGGTATGTTAAAATTTTCCTTTATATAGACAATGAACAGATATTTGTTTGAATTAAGCCTTAGAACTTCTACTTTTAAGTAGCAGTACAATATAGTACAGAATAAAGAATATTGTCCTTCAAACATTTTTAGTCGGATTCTAGACAGTATGGAATAGGAAGTTGATTTCTCTTGCAGTATAGGTGTTAAACCCTGCACTAAGTTACATCCTCAACTGATGGACTGATCAGTTGATCAACTGACTGACTGACTGACTGACTGACAGAGAGAGAGACAGAGCCTCACTAAGTTGCTAAATAGCCCAGGCTGAGCTCAAATTCATAGTCCTCCTATCTCAGCCTCGCACAATGCTGAGATTTAGCTTCTGAGAAAGGCACAATTAAGGGTATTTTAACCTCAGCTGGGTTTAGTATGCGAGCATGCTTAAATATTTTGCCCAAATACTGGGCTGTTGAATCCTAAAAATAATATATGTTGCATAGTAAATAAATAAATAAATTGTGTAGCTTGACAATCTGTATACAATTTGAGGGAAATTACAAAGGTGGGATATTTTCCCTACTTAAAATTCTTACAAAGTACTTAAGATGATTTGAGGTTTTTTAGGATGATTTTTCTTTAAAATTAAAAGTGCAGTTAGCTCTATTTTGATTCTTCACAATTTTTGATGTTATATTTGGTTTCTAATGAAATAATAGAAATTTAACATGTGAAAAGAGGCAGTAAAATTTTATAGTTTATTATAAATCAATTGATGCAGTTCAACAGAATATAAATACTTATCAGTATATCAAATTTATACCGTCGTTTATTATATTTGCTTCTCTTGCCTTCAATTTCACTGTGACTGTATTCCAGCCTTAGATGTCTCATGTGCAAAAGGGGTGAAGATATTGACTCAACCAAATACTGTGGGTCCCCTACTGTATAATCTCTGAGTCTCTTTACTGCTATCAAATACAAGATCTTAAGAATTCAGATATTGTGCCAGTTAGCAATATACCTTTAGTGTTCATCTTAATTCTCATACAGTCTTCCAGCTTAGAAATAACCATATGTTTTTATAATTACTTCAATGACTCCATTATTTGTAGAACCAGATAATCCAGATGGTGTATGTCTACCTGAAAATGAAAAACTGGATGAAACAGTATTATTATCAAATGAAGAGGGAGGATTTGCTCTTGAGCCAGTTGACGTTTCAGGTCAGAGGCATTCGTGTTATTTTTATCTTTGATGCACTACTCTGTTATACTTTGAATAATCAAAAAATTTATAGGAGATAATCTAGTAATAGAATTTTTAATACAATAGGAGAAGAGTATGAAGAAAATTTGAGACAATTCTTTCATTGTATTCAATTCTGTTCAAGTCATATATCCAAGTTTAGAAACTGGAAAACTTAGAATTCAGTTCAAGAAGTTATTCAGCCATTACTCTGTATGCACAGGAATGAAGAAAACATGGTTCTTTCCTTTAAGAAGTTTTATAATTTGGACTTCCCCTCTAAACACAGTGAGCCCAAGGCATCCTCATGAGCGCTCACTGCACGAAAGGCACCCTGCACCCTGTGCAGAGAAAAGATAAGGAAACAGACCCTAATAACACCTATGAGTGAGCACCCCCATCTGTTGACTTCCAGAGACCCCTGTCTGCTTGAAAACGTGCCCCATGACTCTTGTGGACCCCAGCAGGTACACAAATGTGTCCATGGATTGCACCAACTGGGAGGGGCAGTTCCTAAGTCAAACCCAGGGATAGCATCAGATTCTGCTTGCTGAGTAGAGAGGAGAATTGTTCAGGCTGTGTTAGCTCAGGTTTTGAGTGCAAGAGAAAAGTGAGGAAATTGGTATGGCTGCTTATTATCAGACCACAACTAAGGCAAGAAGGAAATTGTGTAAACACTCAGGTTATTTGGCGTAATGGTCACATGGGAATCACATGCACATTCTACTATTGAAATATTTGATCTGGGATTTTTTTGGTGCTTTGACTTAGTTGATATTTGTTTTCCCTCCCTCTTCTTGTCTATCTCATTTCTTCAGCTCAAGCTTCTGTGGCAATAATATTTTCTTATTTTTTGTTTCTCCCACTTTTTAAATTCTTTTAATTTTTTGTTGCTATTTTCTGCTCTCTTTCAGTCACTGCAATCTTCTCTCATAATGACTTTCTGTCTTCTCTATTCTATTCCTTTTGCTCTGCCTTATCTTACCTAGCTCTCTGTTTTCCCTTGACTTGTCCCCACTTTACAAGTGCATAAATATATCAGTTGATTCCAGATACCTCACAGCTTCCCTCAATTTCAAAATACACCTCCCTCTTCCTCCTACATCCCATCTTTGTCCCCACAAATATCTTCATAAAACCCTCAACACTAACCCTTAAATCCAACTAAAAGACTCCCAACAGAGTCTGACCCCATCAAGCAAGACAAATAGATAAAACAAAAACAAAGGAGTCATCAACAAAAAGAATGAAATAGCAGGAAAAAATCAATACCTTTCAGTAATAACTCTCAATGTGAAGGGCCTCAACACCCCCATTAAAAGCCACAGATTGGCAGACTGGATCAAAGAAACAGAATCCAGCAGTCTATTGCATTCAAGAAATGCATCTAACAAAAAGACATTCATAGACTAAAAATCAAAGGATGGAAAACAATATTTCATGTGTCAGTGTCCCCCAAGCAAGCACAGGCAGCAATTTTACTCTCAGATAAAGTAAACATCAAGCTAAAAATGATAAGAGGTGAAGAAGATCACTATATATTAAGTAATAAAACAATCCAACAGAATGAGATAACATTTGTAAATATATATGCACTGAATACTGGCGTATCTGTCTTCATAAATACTGCTGGACATAACAGATCAAATAAACACCAACATAACTATAGTGGGTGACTTCAACATTCCACTTTCACAAAGACATAGATCAACTAAACAAAAAATCATTAAGAAATATCAGAGCTGAACACATTTGAAGAAATGAGCTTAAAAGGTATCTACAGAGTATTCTACCCTACAACAGAATACACATTCTTCTGAATCTGATAAAAAAAATTATGACAAAGCAATGGCCATTTTAATGGGAAGAAACTGAAAGCTTTTACTCTAAAATCAGAAACAAGAAAAGGATTCCTAGTATTACCATTATATTCAACATAGTACTCAAAATATTGTCCAGAGCAATCAGGCGAGAGAAAGAAATAAAAGGCATATATATGGGAAAAGAAGTCAAATTATCATCTTGCAGATGACATGATCCTCTAATAGAAGACCCAAAACATTTCATTAATAGACACTTAAAATTGATAACCAGTTTCAACAGTGTAACAGGATACAAAAATCAATACACAAAAATCAATAATATTCTTGTACACCAATAATGAACTCACTGAGAAATTAGAAAAGCATTACCATTAATGATAGCATCAAGAAAGATTAAATATCTCGGAATTAACTTGACCAAAGAAGTTAAAGACCTCTACAACAAAAACTGCAGTATTCTGAAAAAGGAAATTGAAGAGGACAACAGAAAATGTAAAGATGTCCCCTGCTCCTGGATAGGTAGAACCAATATTGTCAAGATGGCCACATTTTCAAAACTGATATGTAGATTTAGTGTAACCCCCATCAAAATACCTACAGCATTCCTCACAGAAGTAAAGAAACCAATCCTAAAAATTCATACGGAACCAGAAATTACTAGAGTAGCAAAAACAGTCCTGGGCCAGAAGAGCAAACCAGGAGGCATCACAGCTCCAGACTTCAAGTTATACTACAAAGCTTCAGTGATAAAAATGCCATGGTATTGGCACAAAAACAGACATATGGATCAGTGGAATAGAATAGAGGATGCAGATCCAATATTAGACACAGTTGTCTTCTTGATCTTTGACAAAGGGACCAAATACATATGTTAGAGGAAAAATACCTCCTCATCAAATAGTTCTGGGATAAGTGGCTATCCATATGCAGAAGATTGAAGGTTGACCTGAAATCTTTCACCATGTATTAAACTAAAATAAAAAATCGAAGATCTAAGTATTCAAATAAAAACCCTTAACCTACTGGAAGATAAAATAGAAAAAACTCTTAAAAGTTATAGGCAAGGAGTTTCTGAACAGAACTCTAATTGCACAAAAAATAACAAGGTTCAGCAAATGTGATTATATTAAATTAAAAAGCTTCTGGACAGTAAAGCAAGCAATCAAGTGAAGAGACAACATAAAGAATAAAAAAATGGTCTGTGAACTATTCCTTAGACAGAGGACTAATGTCTAAAATATATAAAGAACTCAAAAAGTTAGACACCTTCAAATAAGACCCCATCAAAAAATGGACAGATGAAATGAATAGACATTTCTTGAAGAAGAAAGTACAAATGGTCAGTAAATATATAATGTTCAACATCACTGGCCATTAGGGAAACACAGATTAAACACTAAGATTTCATCTTATAGCAGAAAGAAATGGCAATGATCAAGAAATCAAATAATAAAGCTGGTATGGCTGTGGTGAAAAAGGAACCCTTATACACTGTTGGTGGGAATGTAAACTAGTATAACCATTGTGGACATAAGTATGGAGATGTCTCAAAAAACTAAAAGTAGAAATTCTCCTTGACTAAGCTATTCCTCTTCTAGGTATATTCTCAGAAGAGCTAAAGATACCTCATTACAGCAATATATTCATACTAGTGTTTATTGCAGAACCATTCATATTAGCTAAATCCTGAAACCAGTTAGTATGTCCAGCAGTAGGTGAATAGATAAAGAAAATGTATCTATACATAGTGGAATACTACTCAGCAATCAAGAAAGATAAATTTGAGACATATGTTGGAAAAACAGATTCACCAGAAAACATAATGTTAAGTGAAATAAATCAGACACACAAACTTAAATACCATATGGTTTCTGTCTTTTAAGTAATGCAAAATACAAGTAAAGAGTAAATAAAAGATTGATAAAAAGAATCAGGGAGATAGATCTTTTTGTAAATGGGAAGAAGCCTGAAAGTCTGAGGGAGAGAGGAGGGATAAATGGAAGAGTATGTAAATGGATTTAAGATGTATCATGTACATGTACCAGATACCCACAATGAATGTAGTCATTATATGTCATAACATGAACTAAAGTAGGGAATAACAGCAATAGTGAAAATAGAGAAAATGGATCTAGAGATACGGAAGGAGATGGGTGGGGAGGAAAATGGGACTGAAACAAATTTTAAAAAGTTTTACAGTCTGGTCAAGGTAAATAAACATACAAGTGAATATAAGATCAAATAAAAGGATCAGAAGAGAGGAACTATACCCCCTACTATATAACCTCTCACATTTAACACATTTAAGGAATAAACAATAATATGAGTCTTTTAAAAACATTTTTTTCAGAAGTATAATTGATATAAAATTCGGTGTATAAACTCAGCCATGCAGGGATAAACGTAGTTTTTAGAAAACCTAGCCTGTGTTCTACAGGACTGGCAAGAAATTCAGTCTGCACAGCTTCCCAATCTGCACAGAGCTATGTAGTACCAAAATTTGGGTGAGAGGTATGGGGGCTAGAACTGAACCCCTGGGTCATCAGCCATACCAATTTGTTGTGCTCATTGTCCCAGATTCACAAGCAGCCCCTGTAGGATTTTGTCATATTCCCAGGATTCTACAAAAACATGTCAACAAAGAGGTTCCTGTTCCTCTTAGCTCCATCTGATCTCAGATCTTCGTACCCTGGAAAATCTAACCCTTTTTCTCCTTTTGAAGCTTTACTAAAGAAAAGCTTGACTTCTGCTCTCTGCGTGGTAGAATTCCCTGAAGGAATAAAATCCCATGGATGTAGCTACCTACAATGAATTTTTATATGAATTTCAGCAGAAGAGGAAATAATACACTGAACAAGTACAAATTATGTCTCAAGAATCTATCCTATTACACAGGCATTTTAACGTCTAGATTGGTTAACTTCCCACTAGATATAACCTCTGCTCCATGCTTCCTCAGTTGCCCACCTATCAGGTTAACAGAATCCCTGCTAAGCACTTTCAAACACTGTTAAAAAATGTATCTGCTTTTTGGCTTCTCAGACACTCTAGCTGTGAAAAAACCTTGCAAAGTATTATTTTCAGGGGAGAGAAGAGGGATTTTCTTCCCACTGAAACTGTACAGGTTGTTATTTTTTAGATATGTAGTGCCTAGAATATCATTTTACAAAGCTGTATAACCAACCACTTTTTATGTCTTTTTATATTTAGACATTGTTGAGAAAAGGAAAAGCAAAAAGAGGAGATTGCTTATAGATCCAGTCAAAGAAATCAGTAGCAAAACTATGCATAAACAGCTCACTTCCTTTTCGGACACACTCATGGTTTTAGAACTTGCCCCTCCTACCCAAAGATTAATGATGTGGAAGAAGAGGGGAGGAGTGCATACACTTCTGTCTACTGCTGCCCAGGATTTGATTCATGGTGAACTGAAAGTGGTAATAGTTTCTCTCCTTTTACTTGAGTGAAATGTTTGTTTATAAATAAAGCCATTTTACATAAATATATGCAACAGAATTTGAACTCTTGAAAAAAATAACCATTTATAAATTAATGTGTTGGCTATGTCTTTATGAACTATAGTTTGCACTTTTTAATATACCTACATAAGCTTTATTGAATTGATACAAAACAAGAAATAAAAATTGTGTTTTCACAGTTGTTTACAAAATGCTTTCTGTCTTCTGGCTTTAAACCTGGAGGAAAATTGATACAGAAGGAGTCAGTAAGGGAAGAACTGGGAAAACAAAATGTTGTAGGTGAGGCTTCCTAATGCTGTTGATGTTAAGAGGAAGTATCATTTTGCATTTCAGAGTGAAAATGGGCTGTAAGTCCCTATTTTCAAATATAAATATTATCTCTAGAAGTGTATTTGAACTTAAAATAATTACTTCAGTATTTTTTCTGTTTTTCATATGCACTTTTCTCTGAAAGACTTCATTAAAAAGATGAAACTATATATACTATATAGACCATTGTTTTTCCTGTTTCTCACCTTCCCTATTCCCAAAGTCAGTACTCGCAAACCGTTAAAAAAGAAAATCATTATATTTATCAGGACAATGCTTCACTTTAAAACAACTAACATGAAAAAGTAGGGATAACAATACAATTAACCTGAGACATACATAATCCTATATACCTATAGAGTATTTACAATTGGTTATTTTTGTAACAATTACAAAGTAGTAATAAAACCAGTTTATGTGGTGAATGAGCCTCCTATTCCCAATCACCCTTCCTGAAGGCATTAAAATCTACTGAATAGTATACCCTAATGGGCTTGAACTCTCTGTGTTGTCTTGTAAGTGAATATATGAGAGTGAGTGTGGAGTCAGTATATGAATATGTGGATTTGGCAAGGAATGGGTGGAGGTGATACAGACAGATGAGGGGAACCAGAAGATTAATATGTGAGATTTAGGGAGACATAAAGTTTGTACACCCTTTGCTTAAATTCTTGGATTCCAATTTGTCTATCAGAGTTTTCTTTTGTAACAGCTATATCCCAATGCATGTTTAAAAGGTATCTTAGTGAAATATTTTTTATTTCCCTGATAATTCAGAGATCTCCGTGATGGAAGAGCCAAATTCTCAGCAACGGTTAAGTCAACCCCAGATTTGGAAGGATGTGATTGATGAATTTAAGAATAGCTCTAATGAGGATATCAATAAAAATAGTAACTCTGAGGTAAGTTAACCAGAGAAAATCATAAAAATATTTTTTCAGACATAGCTTTGTGGTAAAAGAATGTTGGGATTCTGATTTTTCTTCTCAATTTTATAGATCATATTTCTTCTATCACTCTATATTTTCTTTAGTAAGTAGCAGTATAACAGGGTAAAACATGATTTTCATTTGTGAGACAATATTCTCCAGAAGTTTAGGATAATGAATCACAGGATAAGGGAGTTTCACACTGAGATAGTATTTTTCACAAAATATTAAATGAATTATTGTCTGACCTTGAATCTGGCTCTATCCTGAGAATTCTGTTAGGCCTCATGTTCAATATGTCATGGAATATTTTCCAACTCTAGCCAAGAAACCTGTTCTCTTTTTCAGCATAATTTCACCCTTCCTGCCACTAATATATTTTAGGCCTTCAATTGTGTTGACCTTGAATCTGAAAGGTTATTGGTCTGTGACCAAAATACATCTTTAAACTTTTTATTTGAAGATATAATACACGTTTGAAAAACAATTATTTAAAAATACAAATAGAAACAATGTGCCTTAAAATATTTTCTCAGTTGTCACTTTATTGATTGTACAAATGTAAGCATTATCATACTAGATAAAAGTAAATTAGTGCTTTTCTGGTCTATTCCACCATCACTGCATTTTGATAACCACTTAGGGAATTCAAAGTTAATCCATGGTGAAACTGAATACTCTTGGAAGGAAAGAGTCTCACAGTGCATTAAAACAGGATGTATTTTACTAAATATTTCATAATTCACTAGATATCATCTTCTTGGTTGCTAAGACTATATTCCTCACTGGAGCTCAGGTGTTTCTTAGAATGTACCTCCTGAAAATTGTGATTAGACAGCCATGTTTCAATTAAGATGTTTGGAAGGAAAATTTAAATGCAGTTATTATGGACATAGTAACAATATAAGTTTCCCATGTGCTTGAAGTGGAAAGAAGGAAAGAGATTAATATACCTGTTCAAAATACTCTACTCTTTTACCCTATGCTATGTTTTAACCTTCAATTCCACTCTTACTTTGCTTCCAAAATGGTAAACAAATGTGAAATATACTTGATGTGTGGAAGCACGGTTAGTTTCAAGGGGCAGGAAAATGATTCTGAGTAATCATTTTCAAATACTCATAAAACAGAATTTTTATGTTAGTAACTATGTAATTGAGAGTATCTGAAAGGCTATTCATAAAAAGTAAAAGAAAAAAGGAAGCATATACAAATATGCATAATAAAGAATAAAATACAATTCCTTATATTGACTAAAATTTTAAAAAGCTGAGGTGAACAGTGAAATAAACTATGTTAGAGGAAACTCTTAATCAAGATCAGGGATGGCAGCTGGGGAATGAAGCTTGGTGATGGTTTCAAGATGAAAAGGGACCGACAGCTTTTATAGCAGTGTAAAGGGGAGGAGATGGGGGGGAATGGAGAATTTCTGGCTATCTCTTTTTTCTTCTTCCTTTATGTCTTTGCTCCTCTTTCAGAAGACACAATTTTTTCTTCCCTGTTGCCAATGACAGCTCCAGCAGTGGCGTCTGGATAGGGATATGGTGTTCCTATAGGGATAGTGGCGTCATGGCCCTAGATAGGGATATTAATACCTCTTCCCTTACTCTCACTCTCTCTGCCTGCTCATTGCCAATCTTTTTCCTCTGCCATCTGGCACTGACCTGAGGGAGCTAGGACTTAGATAAAATACTTCAAAGGAAAATGACCTCTGCACAGAGCAATAAAGACTTGTCTGCAGTGGAAGTAGGAGTAGGAGTGGAAGTCTGCAGTGGAAGTAGGAGTAGGAAGGAAAAGGATAGGAAGCAAGAAGGGAAGGATGTGCATGCTCTTTAATTGTAGGTGGCACATAGAAGAAAGGAATGTTTAAGTTAGGAACTACCTATCTGGGATATTTTAGAAATAATATTTTGAGAATGTAGTAGTATCCTAAATTAGTTTGAGAAATGAGCATTCATTCATATTATTAAAGCATTAACAAAATTGGATTGTTCTTATAATAACCACTAGCAGAAGTACCTATCTTTCCCTAATTTTCGTTAGCAGGATATTATGGAAATGATTCCTTCAGCTGCTGAAGAATCATCTATAAAGAATGCTTTCTTGGCCCAAGAATATTGTCCAGTTGAATTGGTAAATATATGTGTACTCTTGGGAATATTCTTAAAAACTGTTCCTAATATTGAATATTTTATTTATCTAAAATTTAGTTTTTAGAGCTGTCATGTTACTTTCTAAAATTATAATTTAAATTGGTAATCTCAGTATAGATGTTTGTGAATACTTTGGTAAAACATTCAGAATTTTACTTTCCTTTTGTCTTTATTTTGAAACTTCAAATAATTTTAAAAGAATATATAGAACTTTTATGCTTATTAAGGTAGTGATAGGTTTTTAAATGTTAAGAATCACTATTTTAAATTTTTTTAAAGCTTATAACCTATAGAGAGAGCCAGACATGGTGGTGCACACTTGTAATCTAAGCACTCCAGAGGCTGAGGCATAAGGATCCCTGTGAGTTTAAAGCCAGCTTGGGCTCCACAGTGAGTTCAAGCCCAGCCTGGACTTCATAGTGAGACCTTGTCTCAAAAAATATTTTGCTAGAGAAACCGTGCCTACTAGGAGTATAGCCTAGGCAAGGGTGGTGAACTGTGAACCTTTTAGAGCTTTCAACAATACAAACAGTTGGCTGTGGCATGCATGCTATAGGTTTTCCACCGTTGGCCCAGGACATTTGAAATTTTATTTATAAAACAGTGTGGGCATTTTTTTTCTAGAAATGGGAAAAAGAAAATGAGCTGCTGAAAGGGCCACATGTTGATAGCAAAGCCAAAAGTAAACTCTGACTCACCTGACTCCCTGTGTGTTGCTGCCTTGTTTTTCCATTCCTTGTCATAGAGTTCTGAAGACATGTTTAAGACTATAAGGAATTTTAACAAAAGTTTTTATAATAAATAATATCAAGATACCTCTTAATGTCTGATATTAACTTGTTTTTAAATAAGTTACCTTTACAATGAATTATAAGACTATTAGATTGTTTTTCTCATATACGGAAAACAGAACACGTCCCCTGTTTAGCTTCATCCACAGCTCTGGAGCCCAGATACTTCCTCAAAGTACTTTTGATTTCATGTACTCCAAGATGCTTTCAGAAATTTCTAAAATATTTTGCCTCATATTTTAAATGACTTGAGGCTAAAGGATTCTAAATTCTTTGGATAATCTAAGAATAAATGACGTATACTTTTTACCTGAAACATCCATATAGCTGAGCCATAAGTGAGGTGATTCATTTTTGCACTCTCTTTGCTTTCACAAACACAGGTTGTTTTCACATATGGTACAGCAAACCACAACATAGCACAAGTTCAGCTGTTTTAAAAATCCTCTGGGCTTCCCACACAAAGGCTTCAGTTGTAGGGTATCCAGACAGATCAAATGGACAGGAATTAGCAAAACGCATAGACTATTCTGAGCTTTTTTCTAATTAGTTGTACATTATAGGTAAAGCTACTATTTCATGGATCTTTAACAGATTTTTACATTTCAGAAATAACATTTGGGTACTTAACAATAAAAGAAATATGAGTTCGATGAATTAATTTACCTAAGGACAAACCAAAGGAGAATAAGCATACATTGTAGCTGGGTAGATTTTGGAAAACTCTTCAGGAAAAAAAGTGACCATATCTTCAAATCATTCTCACTGGGATGTAAGAAAGGACAAAGCATAGGCAGGACCATGCTGTGTAGTCAGTCCTGGAAGCAGGAATAGCTGGTAGGAAGGGGACTCACCAGTTCCTGGACTGAGTCAGAGAGACCCTTTAGCCTCAAGTGATTTAAAATATGAGGCAAAATATTTTAGAAATTTCTGAAAGCATCTTGGAGTACATGAAATCAAAAGTACTTTGAGGAAGTATCTGGGCTCCAGAGCTGTGGATGAAGCTAAACAGGGGACGTGTGATAAGGGTGGCACAGGTGCTGTTGATGAGAGCTAGCCTAGGAAAAGATGGTAAAGTAGGTCAGCTTTGTACAACTTCCTTCTCCCAGCCCTTCGTATGTTCTTCTATCAGATTCATCACTTTTCCTATGCCCAGTTTCTGTTGTCCGCTTATAAGGTGTTAGTTGGTAGGGACTATGGTGAATTCTCATAAAGAGATTTTAACTTTACAGTTTTAAATATTGAGATACAGTGGTTAAGCTTTTAAGACTGAACAGAATGAAACTGTTCAGGTAACATGACAGGCAGTGGATTAACCTTTTCTGGACAAGGCACTCTCGAAACACGAAAGGTTTCTAACTCAACTGTCACAAACTACTAAATATGTCATTTTTAGACCTTCCATATAACCACATAAGTTCAGTAACTTGAGAAGATAGTTTTTTCCTGTAGCTTTATATTTGCTCCTGGCAGCTAAGTTCAGACTGACCAGAAAAAGAGTAGATATAGCTGAAAGTGCTTGTTTTTGCTGAGTTTACTTTTCAGAGTCCATAAGGACATAGTGCTCTGGTGTACATTGCAATAAGATTGCAGAATCTCCTACTTTGATCTCATTATCAGAAGACAGCCTGGGGAGTATATGTCTAATCTTGCACAGGTTGATGTACATTTGTGTCTCACTCTCCCCACTATCAGACTATAAAGTCTTTGGTAGGACTCAATGTTATGATTGTGTTTCTTGTAGCAGCTAACACTGTGCTTGACACATAATTAACATAAAGTTTGCTTAAATGAAATATTTATCAATTATTTAACAGGAGTCATCGGGGAGTGAACAAAATAGTGAAGCTGAGAGATGGAATCAAAGATTATTTCAGGTGTTAAATAGTTTACGGGTAAGACGGTAGGGTTTGTCAACTCTGTTCTTAAAATGAATAAAATATTGGCTTCAATCATCTAGATATTTATGAAAACAAAGCAATCTTTCATCATTTCACTGTGGCCATATTTTACTAACAAAAATGATTTTGAGTGATATACCTTGGGCTAAATACAGAAGTTTTGGTCCCTGCATTTTCTAATCAACTCTTAACCCACATTAATGGTCCCAAACATCTGTTCTGTGTCCCATTCTTGGTTTTAGCAATATAACAACAAATTCTAAATACAGAACCAAATTTATAACAGTTTATGAGTGATAGATCATGTAATTTTCACATTTAATTTATATTTTATCAAAATAAGAGCTATGCGTAGGTTCAGTAGTTCTGTACTATAATGCTGAAAAGGAACAACAGAAGTCTATTGTTCTGTTCCTCTTCTGCCTAAGTCCTGCTCGTTGGAAGCAACTATATTAAGCTGTCTTAGTATTTATATCTATATGTCTAATTGATACATTCTACAGATCTTTCTTTATACTTCAGCTTTAAATTGACTTTTTTGACAGAAAGTGAAAATTTAGTTATATTCCCCCATTACAGTATACTTTTAGCATAGTATTGTGTTTACAATGTTATAATATTTGCGATACAGATTTATTTGTGAGAGAAAAGCAAAATATATTTTGTTTAAATAAGAAGTCTATTTTTCGGGGCTGGGGATTTAGCTCAGTGGCAAAGCACCTGCCTGGCAAGCGCAAGGTCGTGAGTTCGGTTCCCGGTACCAGAGAAAAACCAAAAAAAAAAAAAAAAAAAGAAGTCTATTTTTCTTTCATGTAAAAATCTAATCTAATATGCAGCTATGTTAACAAAGTTATCAGGGACTACTTTCCCTTTTTCTTGCTTTGTTTATCCCCCAAATCCAGCATGTCTGTATTCCAATCTGCAACAAAACTTTCTTTAAGGGTATAACCCGGAAATTTTGTGTGACACTTCTGACATTCACCAGCACTTACCTTGCATTGCCACCTGTATCTGGGAAATGAGAATTCTCATTTAGTAACCTTAGGTCCAGCTGATACTTCTACTACTGTGGAAGAAGAGAATGGATGATAAGGGGCAACTAGCACTTTGCCACAAAGATTATGTAAAAAACTATTTCATACTGAAACTTCACAGTGTCATTACATTTCTTAGAAACTTTGTGGGGTTTTTTTGTTTGAATTAATCATGACCTCATTTCTTCCATTTATTGAATGTTTCTGTATACCCATCCCTTAATTATTTTTCAAACTTTTTGATAATATAGTAAAACTCCTTTTTAGTCTATACATCTAATATATCAATTAATCCATCAGTTTCATCTTTTTCTAAGATAACCCTCTTAGAGCTAATCATCCTCTTGTTCTAATCCAAACTAGTTGCTCTTTAGATCAGGTGCACAGCATCTATCTTGGGACATGGTTTCATCATAAACATGAAAATGTCTTTGTTCCTTCTTAGTGCTTCTGTTTCTTGGTGATTCGATTTTCTTTTATCTTAAAATTTTGGTGGGTAATATTATCTGATAATTTCCTGAGATAAATATTGTATAGGAGACAGAAACCTTGCAAATAAACCTGAAATTTTCTTTAATTTACCTTGAACTTTATGGGTTGTCTCTGGACATAAGCTAGAAATAATTTATTTCTGATGATAACCTTGTAACATTTCTACGATTCTTGTGTTGTTACTGAAAAGTCAGGTTCTGCCTTGGTTAATGATCCTTTGTAGATGATCTTTGTGCAAACCCCAGTACCATAACAAAAAGAATCATTGTTAAGATATGGTTAACATACAATGAACTGTGCATGTTTAAAGTATAGTATACAGTAAATTAAGTCCTTTTATTAAGTTTATCAGTACATTTTATATATATATATATATATATATAAAATGATAATTTTCATCATAGGGAATTTTTTTGGTACTGGAAATCAAACACAGGACCTTACATTTGCCAGGCAGGTGCTTGTGCCACTGAGCTATATCCCTGGCCCCACCATAGGGAATTTGTACCTATATATGATACAAGTCTTGAGTTATGTATATACCTATGAAACCATCACTACACTCAGGATAGTAAACATATCTAAAACCCCAACAAGATAGTCCCTTAGACTGTCCTTCCCACTTTCACTGTCACTTTTCAGGGATACAATAAAAAACTTCTTTGAACTTTAGAAGTTACAACTTTCTTCTGCTCGCTGAATACTTTTAGTGATTCTCTTGAATGTATTCTTTTTATTCCTTAGTGTTAGAGATTCAGCTGTCTGCTGGGTCTTTGATTGTCTGCTTTTATTTAAGACTGAGACACCAAAAAACTGATTTTGGAAGTCATGGGCAGGGCTTGTATGCAGTCCTGTGGTCTTAACAATGAGTTAACTGGGTGGTGCCCTTTCTCTAGACATCATCTTCTAAAGAATTTCTTTTTCCTTTTGAGTGGTCAGTTTTTTTTAGAGTATTGTTTTCATCTACGACCTAGGAGATATATGCAAGATACCAGTGGTTCAGGAACCGAAAAGAAGTCAGGGAAAGATTAGTTGTTTCACTGTGCAGATGCAGTGTTACTTAATTTCCTTGTTTGTGGTACGGTACTTTTCGTTCCTGGTCTACAGTGCCAATGTCCCAAGTCCAAAGCTTCAATGGTTGGTATCACCAGAAAAATGCCTTCTTGGCTGCTATTGCTGTGTGTAGTGGTCTCGGGTTCTTAGAGATTGTAGAGTGGACAGAGGGTCTAACTTTCCCCAAGTCTCAAAGAATTCCATCTTCAGTCTCTTCTCTAACTTATGACACTCTCATGTCTCCAGCTCCTGAATTTTTTCAAGGGTCTATACCTAAGGTTGGCTTGATCTTTATTGATTTCTCCCTTTCTGTTGATATTTAGGTTTTAGCTTACTCTCCTCTGTTAAGTCAGTCCTGTCTTCCATTTTCTTTATCTTTCTTGTCATTTTTTATTCCTTTGCTCTAACTTTCCTAAAAGACTTCTGAAGGAAACATAAATAAGCACATATGTACATCTTGCGTATTTGTCCCTTCAGGGTTTTTCAAGAGAATTCTTAAAATTGAAAAGCTGTTTCCACTCTCTCACAGGGGAAAAAAATCTACTAAACCCATTTCTTGTCACACAAAGGAGGGAATAAATGAATAAATGAAGGCGAGTATATAATCTCTGAAAGGCTGCTGACGCTGGGCCACAACTTTGATTAAGATAAAACACAATAAAGTGTTCACTTATTAATTTGTTAAGTGTTGCAGACTGGCAGAAACTTCTGGTATTTCTAAAAGTACTTAACAACTATCCAAATTCTATGGTGCTCATAGGGCTACTGACCAGTATTCACTACAGTATTTCTAACTAAAAATTATACTTCTGTAGGAGGTTGATTCCAAGTCTTAGTCTTTATGAAAACAGTTATCTTCACTCATAATTACTTTATTGTACTTATTTCTAGTAGGTATACAGGTGCCCTATGATGATTCCAACATCTTTTTAGTCTGTATAAAGAAATTGAGAGTGTTTAGTTATATTCCCTTGGCACTGAAACATACAAATGTGCTTCTTCATTTACCACTAACATTGTTTATAGTCATCCTAGTACTTTTAAGAAGCTTGATAAACTGACCTTTCGTATTGTATTTGAAGCTTTTCAAAGTCCTCTAGAATTTTTGTGCCTGTAAGTTTAAACTTACTGCATTTTCCATAGAAGGAACTTATTTTAACATCAATTTTTTAAATACCTAACATTTATAGAACAAATTATGAATTTATATAACACTTTAAGATTCTTTTGCACACATTTTTTTCCATTGGCCAAGCTTGTGCTTAGTGACCTATGGCGGTTTTAAAAGTTTATTAGAGTTGTTTGTATTTCTCCATTGAAGGATAACATAATCACTTATCAAAAACCTCAATATTTTGTTGTTCGTAATGTATCCTTAGCCTGTTTTCTTCTAATGATTTTGTTTTTCTTCCTTTTCTCCTTTTCCAACTATTTTCCCAGGAATCTAATAAGATGGGAATGCAGTCCTTTAGTCTGAAGAAGCTCTGCAGAGATAGTGACCGAAAACAAGCTGCTGCCAAATTTTATAGCTTTCTCATCCTAAAAAAACAGCAGGTTATTGAGCTGAGTCAGAGTGTTCCCTATGCAGACATTATAGCTACAGTGGGACCAATGTTCCATAAAATGTGAAGGAAATACAGAACATACTGCAGGTGTATACTATCACTGGCATTTCTATATAGATTATTCAGTTTAATGCAGAAGCCTTCTGGGAGCAGCTAAAGGTCTGATCTGTTTCACAGATAGGCTGAGCTCCTGTCCCTCTGTGTTCAGAATAATCATAGCCAGAATTAGAAACCTACCTGCTTACAGAAATATTAATTATAGCTGGGTAATATTTTAAACTTAGCTGATTTGAATGTATAGTATTTGTTATTTCCCTGGCTTGAATGTAACATTTAGAATACATTTTTAAAACATTATCTGCCTTCAAGAGACATTCAGGGATGTTTTTAAATGGCTATTTTACATTGGATTATTTATGCAAATGTTACAGGGTTAGTGAATGTTAATATTTATTTCTTGACAATAAATTATTTAATTTTAATGTATGTCATCTTTGATATGACCTAGTGTTACAGGTTTTCATCTAATATCTTAATTAGAGAATTATAAAATTCATCTTTGTTTTAAATCACCTGCCTAGCTTTTAGCCTATTTATAGGTCATTTAAATCTTTTATTTACTATTTAATATATTAAATTATCTTTACCATTTAATAGATTATTGTAACCACCATTAATGTCTCAACAAAACTAAATATTTCTTACATTAAAAAATTAGTAGATACTTGTGCAGCATGTTATCTACAGCTATAACTTGAGTTAAAATTGCTGAAACAAGTGTTCTTGTACTTGGTATTTACTGAGCATTTTGACATTAAAACCATTGCTTTTTCTCTTAGTTGAATTTGAATTAGATTTTCATATATGCTTTGTGAACTCCATTGTACACTATAAAATGAAGCCTTTAAAACATTGTATTTGAAATTATATATATAACTAAATTCTAAATAACCTCTATGAATACATTGACTATAAGACATAAACACCAAAATTGCTTTCTGAAGTTTATTTTTAAAATTAACGTGCAAAAAAATGACTTCTTAATTTTGGTGCACAGTTCTCTAAATTTTAGCATATACATAGTTTCCTAGAACCATTACCACAATCAGGATACAAACGGTAACAGCATCCTAAAAATCTGTGTTATACCTTTGTAGTTAGACCTTTCTCCCGTGCTGATCTCTGGCAGCCACTCTTCTCCATGACTACACTTTTGTCTTTTTGATAAAGTTATATAAATGGAATTGTATAACATGTAACTTTTTGAGAGCGGTTTCTTTCGCTCAATATAACATCTTTAATATTCACCCGTGGTCGGATAGTTTGTTCCTTTTCTTGCTGATCAGGATTCTGTTGCTAGATATACCACAGTTTTATTTATGCATTTATCCATTGAAAGACATTTAGAATGTTTTCAGTTGTGTTAATTATAAATAGAACTACATATCTTTGTGTACAGTTTTTGTGTGAATATGTTTTTATTTCCCTAGGAGTGGGATTGCTGGGTCATATGTATGTTTAACTTTGCAATAAATTATCAAAATATCTTCAAGAGTGGATGTATTTTGTATTCTCACTAGTAATGTTTGAGTTTCAGTTTACTTGATACATTGATATCATTGTAGATCCCTGTGCAATTGTCAGAAATAATGCAGATCAGTTTGCCTAACCTTATTAAATTACATGCAACCAAGAAATTGAGATTGACCTTACCCACCTTATTCAGATTTCAACAGTTTTATATGCACTCATTTGTGTGTATGTATATTTAGTTCTATTAAGTGGTGGTTACATGTAAATTTGTGTGACCACCACTATAGTAGAGAAACAGAACAGTTCCATCACAAAGATCATCTGCATTGCCTTGTTAGCCACAGCCATCTCCCTCCCTTCCCTCCTCCCTAGCTCCTCACAACTAAGCTGTTCTCTATTTCTATGATTCTGTCTTGATACAGTTGGCTTTTGTGGGTTAACTTTATATTCAATGACTTTGTTAAACTCACTAGTTACTTTTATTGCTTTGTTTTTTCCTGTACAATCATGTTGTCTACATAGAGGAACAATTTTTTCCTTCCTTTGCAATGTGTATGACTTTTAGTTCTTTTTCTTACCCTGTAACACTTGCTAGAACCCTTAACATTTTGTTAAATAAAAGTGGTGAGACTAAACATCTTTGCATTTTCCCACTCTTAGAAAGGAAGTATTCTACTCAGTATTACCACTAAGTATGATGTGAACTGTATTTGGATTATATTGTTTTGGGCTTTAGGGTGTTATTTGGGAGACGTATTTTGTCAACTAGTCCACTTTCTATTGCTGTAATAAAATATCTAGTACTGGGTACTTATAAAGAAAAGAGGCTTATTTAAACTCACAACTCTGGAGGGTGAAAGTCCAAGATCAAATGACCCCATCTGTTCAGCCTCTGGTAAGGGCCCCATTGGCTGAATCACAACATGGCAGATGGCATGATTTCTCTTAATTTTCCTTTATCAGAGAATGTCCTTATTTCACTTTCATTCCTGAAGAACATCTTTGCTGGATATAGAATCCTGGTTGGCAGCTCTCTTTTCTTTTCTTTTCTTTTCTTTTCTTTTCTTTTCTTTTTTCTTTTCTTTTCTTTTCTTTTCTTTTCTTTTCTTTTCTCTCCTTTTCTTTCTTTCTTTCTTTCTTTTCTTTCTTTCTTTCTTTCTTTCTTTCTCTTTCTTTTTGTTTTTCTTTCTTTTTGTTTTTCTTTCTTTCTTCCTTTCTTTTTCTTTCTTTCTTTCTTTCTTTCTTTCTTTCTTCTTGTTTTTCTTTCTTTCTTTCTTCCTTTCTTTTTCTTTCTTTCTTTCTTTCTTTCTTTCTTTCTTTCTTTCTTTCTTTCTTTCTTCTTTCTTTCTTTCAAGACAGGGTTTCACTATGTATTCCAGGATGGCCTTGAACTCACAGAAGCCCTCCACCCTCAGCTTCCCTAGTACTGCACTACTGTACAACCATGCACCATCATGCCCACATTCTTTTGGAAATTTAATATATTTTATTTTACTTTCTTCTGCCCTCCACCAGCTCTGATGAGAAATCTACAATTATTCAAACCATTACTACCTTATAATTAATGTATTATTTTTCTCTGCTACTTCTCCAAGATTATTTTTTGGTTTGTTGTTTTTTGTGGTAAGTGAAAACAATTATTTATATTATCATTATTTGACTTACCTTCTTTGGGATTCACCAGAAATCTAAAACTTAGAGCTTCAATTGCTTTGCTCTGCTTTGCTGCCTACTTCCCACAATTGCACCTGCATCTGGAGGTACGTGGTGGAGAGACAGAAACAAACAAAAATCATAGAGACTCACTCAGGAGCACAGCTACTCTGATTAAGAAATTTCTCTCTCACCTCACCCAGAGGCACCTGTGAGCTTCTGCTGCCACAGTCCTACTGCAGGATTACTTGGGACAACGGATAAAAATTTTAAAAAAGAGATTTCCCCCACTCTGAGCATCAAAAATCACCTTTCCTGACCCATAAGTCAGAATTAGGAGGATTTTTCAGAGCTTACTCTGTGCTGATTTCTAATTTCAGAGTTTTACTCTGTCTTGATACCAACTTAGGAAGTATCAGAGGAAAAATTCATAAATTCACCACTAGTTCAGTGATTCATCAAATCTTACCTTCTTCCTCAATTTGCCTTCTCTTCAGACTCCTCAAGTATCTGCCATATGTATTTTGTTAAAGTTTTATTGCTGTATTCAGTGAGAAGAGTGGTTACCAAGAATTAGAATGAAAATTGCTTTTGAAACTAAAAAACATGTTAAGTACTGTATTTCTTAATTAGTATAAAACAAAATTACTTCTTTGGAATAACTTTATCTTGTTTTATGTTTATAATCCTCATTTTTTTTGCAAACATTGATTCTCTTCTCAGTCACCTGCTTTCTGATGCTTAAGAGAATTCTTTACTGGCTAATACTAGTCTAGATGGGAACAATGTGGGTGGAAAAGTGCTCTTGTTTGGGGGGGTTGTCTTAAAGGAGATTTCTGGGAAATGTCTTTTAAGTACTAGGCAAAATAAGTAATGGGAGAAAGACAAAAAATATTTATGACAGTGTCAGAAATATTCTCTTAAACACAGTGATTACAAGGCTTCCGTGGTTTTGTTTTAAGCATAAAGTCACTTGTATAATTTAGGTGGCACTAGGACAGATAAAACATTTACCCAGTGACAAGAGATGGGCGAAGATAAGGAGTGCCAGGGTGAGGGTCTTAAGCAAACAATGACTGCGGAGACAGAGCTGGTTGGAAAAGAGGGAGCCCTTTCCCTCCACCCCACTGCCCAAGGTGAAGCAGATGGGATCCTGGCCCAGAGAGCAAGCTAATTTATCTGAAGATCGTGGCTAGCAATGAGGGTGGAAACCCAGAGTCCTGACTTTTTAATCCTCTGTTGCCCTTAACATCTGAGATGAGACCAGAGGGGAAAGACCCACAATAACCCAGTTGTTGTAGGCTGTGAACGCTTATCACTCCATCTTACCGCCCAGTCACCGTTTTAACCACAAAGGAAGTATTTTCTGTCCTTAGATATTTAAGATTTCTGCTACCAAGTGCTCTTCACATTAACCCCAGTGCTGTGTCTTAGTTTTGGGAGGAAAACGTTCCTAAGAGTGGTCAGATAAATTTAGCATTTATCACCTGAGCCACTGTGTGACAGGGACTGAGATGCGTGTCATCATCCCATGTCACAGATGAGAAGGCTGAGGCCCAGAGATAAAAGAACCTGCGCAGAGTCACACAGCCTGTCACAAAGTCCTTTCTTGCAAGCCTGTCGCCCTGCTCTTCCGCAGGCTAGCGTGCAGGTGAGAGACGACCTGCTCCCCACGCGGGCCTCGGGAAGCAGGGACAACTATCTCTTTAAGAAGCAAAGTGAGGACGGGCCGCTTACGCAGCCGCGACGGGCTCGTCCCCTGCACCCCCTCTCCCTCCCGCCTCCTCCCGGCAGCCCCGGCCCGGCGAGCACCCAGCCAGCCTCTCCCGCGGGGCTCCGGAGAGCGCGCCGGAGCCCCTGGCAGGGCAGCCCCAGCCATGGAAGCCTCCGCAGGTGATGACGAGGACCCCAGGGTCCCCGGGGCCACCGCCCAGCTGCGCCGCGGATTCCAGAGCGCTGGGTGCGAGGACACCGGGGCCCGGGGCTGCGGACGGGCGGCGGCGGCCGCCTGCGCTCCGCGCTTCCTGGCTACAGGGGCCGGGCTGTCAGCGGCCGGGCTCAGCTGCCGGCGTCCGCGCCGCCCTCACCTCCCCTGTCTGTCTCTCCCCACGCCGCAGGTCGCTGATCCGGGCCAGGCGGCTGCAGCAGCGACTGCAGAGGCGCTGCGCCAAACGGGCCAGAGCCGTGAGGGCTGGCGAGACTGCGGCGGGCAGGCGGACTCAGGTGAGCAGGCCGGGCGCAGCGGGAGGGGACCCTGCGCGGCTCAGAGCTTGCAACGCTCGCTGCGGTAGGATCCTTCCCTGGGGGGCACCAGCCAGGAGGCATGGATCGTGACTCATCTTACCCTCCCTTCATTCTTCTACATCCCGTAAGCACCCCACCCCCAGCCGTGAAATTGACTCATTAAAGGATGCTGATTGCAGTAGGGAAGAAACCCGAGGTGGGCGATGAGGAGGAACTGTTGGGGGAACTGCCCCTCCCCATTCCTATTTGTCTTCTGACATTTGGTGAGCATGCTAGCTTCTCTTTGGAACCCTGCACCCACCCCAAGGTCAAGTGCCATTGACTGCTTCCTTGCCTTATGCTCCTGTGTGAAGCACCAGGGCCCTGCAGTAGATCTGGAAATAAATGCCCATGACCCCTGGAGTGAGAGCTCTGATCATGGGTTTTCCCTGAGCTTCTATGGGATGTGCTGCTTTCTCTTCCACTCCCCAGCAGGGAGCAGCGCTATTTGCAACACTAGTGGCTGAGGAAGTACCCCATTCCCTGCCTCAGCCTTGCAGACTCAAGGAGAGGCCTGGTCATATGCTGGCTGTTTCCTCGGCCTTCTCTGTCCATCTGGTAGTGTGGGCTGGGCTGGGCTGGGCTAGGGGAGCTTCCCCCGAAAAAGGGGATCTGTGCAGGTAGAGCCATGCACAGAAAGTGCCAGAGATTGGGAGTCTAGGCCTTTCCCTTGCTAGTTGGCCGAAGTAGCCATCTTAAAATTCTTTAGGTGTGGGTGTCTGTCTGCTTTTCTGTTAAATACAGGAGTTGGATTAAGTGGTCTCCACAGTTTTAATGTATCATTCAAGCTACTTTTAAGGGTTGGAGGACCTTCTACTAAAGCAGTTTAAATTTAGGTTCATGGAATAATTGGAGGTTCCTCAGTTAATCTCTTTCAACTCCGGACTTCTCAAGTGAAACATTGACCTTGTGGGCCTCATGGTACTGGAGGTGTCAGGCATCCCTACACTGTTGAGCTCCTTCCCTTCCCCAAGCTTCAGCTTTCTCATCTGTAAACCTGGGAAAAGGGACACGTGCCTCAGAGGGTTGTTGAGAGGCTTAAACAAGATGTACACAGAAACATCAAA